AAAAATAAAATCAAACCAAGTTAAAACAAGATATCTACAGCTAGCGTGTCAGAAAACTGAGGTGTTAGTTCTCAAAGGGACCCGGGAAAAATCCTCTCTTCGCTTTATAGTGGAAGGTGTGGAGGTTGCACCGGTTAAATCAATTAAATATCTGGGAGTCTGGTTGTCGGAAGGTCTAAGGTTCGGAGTACACATCCAAAAGACAGTAGAGAAGGCAAACCGAAATCTGGAGGCGTTGATACGGCTGATGCCAAATATTGATGGCCCAGATAGCACCAAAAGAAAGAGTTTTTCAGTCGGTGGTAATCTACGCTGCCCCTGTGTGGTGTAGCGTGCTAAACACTGCGAAATATGCTAAGCTGATGGAGATTTCGCAATGGCGAATGCCATCAAACGATAGGTTTCTCTGTTTTGCGCCGCATGTTATATGTTCGCACCTTCTGGTATTTGAAACCATTTTCTCAAGTTTCTCAGCCAGGATTTCTTCTTTCTGCCCAAACCTCTTCTACCTTCAATCTTGCCTTCCACGATAAGCTATAGCAGACTGTACTTATCATTACGGAACACATGGCACAGGTATAACGCTTTCCTCCTTTTAACAGTTGTTAACAATTCCACCTCTTTACCCATTCATCTTAATACCTCTGTGTTGGCCACTCTGTCTGTCCAAGGTAATCTCAGTATACGTCGATACAGCCACATTTCTTCTACAACTTCTTTATAGTTACTGCTGTTAACGTTTACCCTTCTACTCAGTAAAGTAGCGTAGAGATTACGTAGCATTTCATGGCGCGCCATCGGAGGTTAATGCTTAGGTTGCGGTTGCTTAAGAATTTTACCATTTTGATGAATTTGGATCTTGCTATTTCAATTCGGATCTTAATCTCTACGTCTGGGTCTTATTTATCATTTACTTTATATTCCAAATATTTAAATTGGTGTACTCTTTCAATACGTTCGGCTTCAATATTCAGATCGATATGTTGAATGTTCTTTTTACTGATCACCATAAATTTAGTTTTCTTTCTATTGATCTTTATCCAAATCGGTTGCCAGTTGCATTTACTCTAAGTATCATTTGCATATCGAAAATTACTTATTGGTACGCCATTAATCTTGATGCCCTCGTTGTACTCTTCCAGTGCCTCTAGAAATATTTGTTTCCTGTACAGGTTGAAAAGCAGTGGCGAAAGAATACAGCCCTGTCTAACCCCTCTCGAAATGGTTACGTTTTCACTCACCATATGTCCATTTTTCATGTGGGATGATTGATTCCAATATAGATTTTTTATAATCTGGATGTCCTTAGTGTCAAGTCCTGTAAAATGTAATAGTTTTACGAGTTTGTCATGTTTGACAGTATCGAATGCGTTCTCATAGTCGATAAAATAGGCGTAAACGTCTTTCTGTTGATCCAGACATTTTTGAATCAAGACTTGTATTGCAAAGAGGGGCTCTCGAGTTTCAAAACCGCATCTAAAACCGAACTATGCTCCGAAACTAATATGTCTAATTTCAAAGTTTTTTTTACATTGTAGTCAATAAATATTTTTTTGCATACAAATTATAAATAGGTATGAGAAATCAATTTGTCTTTAGATTTTTTCGTTTTAAAATTAAACCATATACATTTCAGGTAACTCTAAAGTATGAAACTAAAACACATTATTCATGGAAGTAATAAATCTAAAAAAACCCTTTTTCTTAATCATTAAAACTCTGATAACTAGTGTTCTTTTAGAAATAAGTAATTCCCAGCAGATTTAAGATTACGAATAGTAAATATTTAATGTACACAAAATAAAAGCTAATGGTTTATATGAATTTTCTTATCACAGTGTTTATAATACAAATTTATTTTTATACAACCAAGAAAACTGTGAATTACAATGGATTGCAACAATGTATCAATATAAATACTGCTGAGACGAAACAGTCATCAGTTCATTCTGTTCCCGAAATATGAGTACTATAACAATGAAACAAGTTATTATCTCTTTGTGTTGTTTAATTGTAGCAGCTGCTGCTTTACCAATTGAAAGTTTTGTAGATGAAGATGGTCAACAATTTGTATTAGTTCCTTTACATAGGGGGAGACGGTAAGAAAATTGATTATATTTCATATTTTATTTATTATTATACACTTCAATATTATTCGAAAGCCAGTATATATTTTTATTCTTTGTTTACTCGATTCTCATTCCGTTTTATTTTTGTTTAATCATGTCTTTTAATTTTTTAATTGTATAAAAAATTAGATCAATATATTCAGTAAATAGGAGTAAACATTTTCTCTATTGTATTGTTAATAATACTTTTCATCTGTTTTTCAAACCACATCCACATCTTTCTAGATATTATGTGTTCAATATTTTGGCACTTCTTCTTTGGTTCTTCTATCCATTTCCTCCCATTTAATCTAAAATTTCATATTTGCAGAGCAAAACTTTGCACTCGCATGGTGTGTGATTTGCCGTTTTGTTTTTCCGCATATAGAAAGAACACTTCTCACTATTTGGTTACCCCATCTTATTGAAACAATAGCTCAGGTTGTTGTAGCCAGTTAGAAGATCAGTCGACAATAATATTTGACTCATTTCCACCAAGCATAGGTTTAATGTGATAGTAGTGTGAATAACATGTGACAAAACAGGCTCCATTTTAAGAATTCAGCTAGAAACTCATTCTGCGAAACTCTCAGAGCAGCTAAAGATAGAGACCAATGGAGAAAAATTGTTAGGAATATTGGAACAAATCACGATCCTTAGTAATGGGGAAACGACAAGAGAGAAAGAGAGAGAGAGAGAGAGAGACAGAGAGAGAGAGAGAGAGAGAGAGAGAGAGAGAGAGAGAGAGAGAGAGAGAGAGGGGGGGGGGGGAGAGAGAGAGAGAGAGAGAGAGAGAGAGAGAGGGAGAGAGAGAGAGAGAGAGAGAGAGAGAGAGAGAGAGAGAGAGAGAGAGAGAGGGAGAGAGACAGAGAGATATTTTACAGAGGAATACCCTAGGAAAGTCAGTGGTGGATCTAGACACTTGGCTTGTGAGGGGAACTTACAACTTGGGGGAGCGGAACTTCCAATCAAACACTAACCATGAGACACATAAAAAAGATAAACTTAAATAGAAATTGTTTTACTTTACTAAATTCTTAGGTTAATAGAGAAACTATAGAATAGAATGATATTGTATTTAAAAAATATAGATATTCTATTTTCTTTTTACTTTTCTGCTATAAAATATCTTGTTTTCTAACTGGCTGTCTCGAAATTGTCCTATTCTAATCTATTTTACTTTATTAAATTCCAAGATAAAATTATTTATTAAAAATTTTCCATTTGCAGGGATCTAACATGGGGAGCAAACCAAAATGGTTACTCTCTTGGCCAAAAAGGTACTATCTACAGCAATGGTAATCACCAGTTTGACGGCTCATATGGTGCGTCGAAAGCTTGGGGATCCCATGGTATTAAACCCGATACATTTGGCGGCCGTGTAGACTATACTCATAACCCTAGTGGTTCATCAGCCTTTGTTGGAGCAAACAGAACTCCAGGTTGGGGTACTGATCTGGCTGCCGGTGGAAAGTACAATATCGCTCAAGGAAAGAACTGGAATGTTGATGTCACAGGACAGTACGGAAGGCATTACGGAGGTCCTATTGGAACAGGAAAACCTAATTATGGTGCTTTCTTAAATGTAAATGGACGGTTTTAAATAACAAATTAGCTGTATTTATTTTACATTAGTTTATTTTTATTCACTGCCTATTTATTTTTTTTAATAAAAACATTATTATAAATATTTCAAATATTTTTATCAATAACCTTGCAAAGCTTCTTTTGTCAGCGGCTTTTATTATTAATTTTAGTCCCACCGTTTATAAATATATATATATATATATATATATATATATATATATATATATATATATATATATATATATATATATGTATATATATATATCTGTATATATATATATATATATATATATATATATATATATATATATATAAAATAAATGTGTATATTATCAGGCTTTTTGGTCATAAAATAAAACGATTTTTTTCTCGTAAACTCAATATTTCGCCATTTGGTTTATGGCTTTTTCAAGAGCGCACTAAAAAATTATTTATTGATAGAATAAAAAAAATAATAACATAACATAAAAGAACTTACAGATGTAATCGTTCAAACAGCGTAGCACAAACACAAAATCTTAAGTGACAGACTAAAAATATTAAAACACAAACACATCTTCATGAGTGACAAACTAAAATTTAACTAAAATATTGTAATAACTGATTTTGTTTAATTGCAGAAACTAACATATTTTATAAATTAAAAAGATTTTAAGATATTACAATAAATTGAATCAAGTCCGTTAGCGTCTGTTTTGTTGTTAATAGCATTATCTGTCCTGCTTATATTGCACATTTCGAGAAACAGCCTATTTTTGTAATTTGAGACTGATTGTATTATTTTTACATTATCAAAATCAAATTCATGACCTGTCTTGATGAAATGTTCGACAACAGCGCATGTATTTTTTCCTCTTCTGCAATCACTTCTGTGTTGAGTGACCCGTTGTTTCAACCATTGTCCGGTTTGACCAATGTAGCATCCCTGGCATCCTAAACATTGCAATTTGTAAATGACGTTATTATTGTACACGGTTGCTGTATGATCTTTGGTTTTAAATTTTAAATGCAACATGGAATATTAAATGCAACAACTTATTTTCTAAAATATTAAAATACTATATTTTTACTAGATATACTTTTTCTTGTACCGTACTTTTGTTTCTGAATGAATAACCGGTAATGTTAGACGCCTTCTTGCAGATTTTTTGCCTGCTACATCGCTATAAACTGAAGTTTTTTCATACTTTCTCTTCTTCTGCTAATGTGTCCAAAGTATTTATATTTATCTTAACTTTATACTACATTTTAATAGATGATTACTTAATTTTTATTGGACTGTATTGCGAATTAATTTGTACTCACCAAACACTATTCTATATCTCTTTCCATCGGCGATAACAGCCCAGCTCCTAATAGATTGGGACTGTTTTTCTGTAAATTTTTCTAACGATTTTCCATCCACTAACAAACTATAAGAAAAGGCAAAATGTGGTATTGGATTTACTTTTAACAGACATTTGGCTTCTTGTTTTCCTATATAAAATTCCTCATCGCCAACTAGTTTAAACATCCAATCTCTTCTAACGATTTCCTATAAATATGCAAATATTTAATTAAAAAATAAGAGATCAATCATTTTTAATTCTAAAAAATTCTTAGACAAAGAAAAATTGTACCTATATCATTTATCTTATTTTCTTCGTTTAATGATATTTTTCGAAAGAAATTGAACATGATTTTTACGGTCTGCAAAATTAAATATGTCGCTTCATAAGAGGTCAAAGAAAGGAGGTAAAGGAACTAATAGAACCAAAACACATAGGAAAAGGATACATGGATTGACTACCTTAAAAAGCTTTATGCGGAAGAACAAACGACGATAGAACCGGAAACACCAGAAAAAACCACAAATGAAGAACTATAAATTTTCAGGAAGCTCGAAAAATACTTCGGAAAAAGCTTGAGAACAGAAAAGTAGCATTTAACGACGGGACACCAAACGAATGACTGAAATATGGTGGTGCAGCAATGACAGAACAATTAACCACATTAATTAATAAAATTATAAAACACAATAAGATAACGGAAGAATGGAGAACAAGCGAACTAATTCTATTATTAAAAAAGGAGACAAAAAACAGCCAGAAAGCTACAGAGATATAAACGTGTTAAATATTACCCCAAACTTTAACCCAAAATAACTAAAATTTTACAAGTGCCAATAACTAAGAGGATAAGTTAAGCAGATGAACAACAAGATTTTCGTAGTGGAAGATCGTGTACAGATGCAATATTCGTTGTAATATAAATTGCTGAGAAATTACTAGAGTATAATAGACCAGCACTTTTGTGACTTCATCTCAGTGTCATTGTATCTGTTTTGTCATTTAGTGTTCTCGAGGCATCTTGCCAGTCTGTTTGCTTTTTGTACTTGATCTTTCACTTATTTGTCCAGGTCTCCTAAGCTAGACAGTGTAATTCCCAGGTATTTTATTTCCATTACTTGTTTAATACTGATGCTATCAATTTCTATTTTACATCTAGTTGGTTCTTTGCTGATTACCATTCTTTTAGTTTTCTGAGATGATATTATCATATTAAATTCTTTTGCTCTTAAGTTAAATCTTCATCTTGGGCTATCAATATTGCGTCGTCTGCGTAACAGAGTATTTTAATTTCTTTGTTTCCAATTCTATATCCTCTCCTTTGTTAACGGTTTTGATGATTTCATCCATGATCAAATTGAAATGCATGGGGCTCAATGAATCCCCTTGTCTTATTCTGCTACCTATTTATATAGGTTCTGTAAGTTGTCCATCTATTCTGACTTCCATTTTGTTGTTTTGGTAGATGTTATCGATAGTTTTAATAATATTTAGGGGAACTTCTCTATTATAGAGAAGATGGATTACATCTTTGAGTCTTACTCTGTCAAACGCTTTCTTTAGGTCAATCAGACACACAAATGCTGGTCTATTATACTCTAGTGATTTCTCAGTAATTTGGTTTATAACGAATATTGCATCTGTACACGATCTTCTACTACAAAAATTACATATAATGTAATAAATTTAACAACTTTTGTTAAATAATCGTATTAAAAATATACTTACATTTCCATCCACACGTATGACCCGTTTTCCACTTGTTGTACCATGTTCAAACTCTACCGTATGAACACCATCTAATAGTGGCACACTCCAGTACGCCACTAGATCGCTTCTATCTATAGAATCCGCTTTTTCCAGTGATAGACTAGTGGATAACATTTTGGCAACTTAACCTCGAAATTCTATGTTTATTTATCTGTAAAATAAGGTAATTTTAATAAAGTTTTTAACTACACACCACTCAGGAAAGGCAAGAACTTTCTAGGAAAAGTAAAAAATGACTTCTTCTTCTTCTTATGGTGCTTTACCCGCCGGAGGTCAGCAATTATTACAGTTATTCTTATGTTTGTTGTTGCGGTCCTGAATAGCTCAATGTAGGTGCAGCCAAACTATTCACGGTGGGTCCTTAACCATGAGATGTTTCGTCTTCCTTTCGATTTTTTTCCTCTATTTTATCAGAGGAGCAGGATATAGTATCTTCCTGTTCTTATATTCATCATCAAATCATTATCAACGTCTATCAGTCCACATGTAAAATCTTTTAATCTTTTGATTTGATTTCTTTTCAAAGTTCAAGCCTCACTTCCGTATACTAATATAGAGTAGATGTAGCGTCTAGTCATTCGTATCTTCAGTTCTACATTAAGATTTTTGTTATTAACAATTTATGTCATTTTGATAAATGCAGTTCTTGCCACTTCAACGCGCATATTAATCTCTATGATTTACACCACCAACACAAACGCCCAAATTGCAATTAACGACACACCGTTAGAAATAATGGAGAAAGTATACTACCTGGCTTGCAATATTAAAGACACCTGCTATTATAGCTATGAAATAAGCTCATATTGAAAATATCAGTATCAACTCTGCAAATCCGCTTATATTAATATATGCATAAGAATTTATTAATCACACAGAATATGCCATAAAACAGTTATTGAAATGTGCTGCTACCAACGCGACGTATGTTAAGAATATCATATAGACATGGATCAATGTGGTCAATGTGGATCAAATCACGAGAAAGACATGTATATTTAGAAGGTAATAGATATACTATAAAGGAAGTGAAAAATAAGTCAACAAGGCAGCCAAAATATCGGTATACTCAAAAGATTTTATAAAGAGGAACAAATGTAGGAGCGCGAGCAAAATCCGAATGTATAGAGCATGTGTAAGGCCAGTACTAACATACGCAGAGAAAACAAAACCTAAAACATTACTTAGGAAACAATTTATGGGAACTACAGAAGTGAAAAAATCTGTCTCCTCCAGTCTTTGCGGCTTCTGTGCCTCCAATCTTTGAGATGACAGATTTTTAGAGAATATAAAGCAATTTTATACAATTTATGATCGAGGATCAAAACTGTTGTTGGCCTTTGCTGATGATCGCAGTTGCTCATTCTACAAGAGACCTGAGAGAGGTATTTTCACAACGCGAGGAGGAAACAGGTAGTCTGGATCTTCAAATAAATGCATGAAATACGCAATACATGTTAATAACCACAAATTCAAGACCAAGAGTTAGACAGAACATAACTATAAATGACCACAACTTCGAAGTAGAAAAAGAGTTTAAATATCTGAGGACGGCAATCATAGATAATAACCAGATAGAAAAAGAGGCCATAGCAAGGATAGCTGCGGGAAATAGAGTAATATACTCCCTATTATCACAATTAAGATCTAAGCTGCGAAAAAGAAAATCTAAATTAAGACTGTACAAGTCAATTATTTACCCAGCTGTTACACATAGAAATAAAACATGGACTCTACTTCAACAGGAAATAAATAAGCTGCTAGTATTTAAAAGGAAGGAGCCCAAAGAGATGAATTGACATCAAAGTGGAGAAGGCACAACAATGTTGAATTGGTGACTCTCTATGGTACTGAATACATCGTCAACCATAACAAACTAACTGGATAAGATGGATAGGTCATGTGGTAAGATTAGAGAAAGACATAGTACTAAAGACAGTGTTTTCTGAGAGACGACACAGTAAAAAATCAGTAGACCGTTCCAGAAAAAGATGGAAGGATGATGTTAAAGCTGATATATCTAGAATTGGGGTACAACAATGAGAAATGAAAGTTCAAGATTGTAGAAAAGTAGAATTTTACACAAAACAGTTTTATTACACAAAAAGGAAAGATTTAATAGACTAGTAATATTACAGACTCAAGTTATTCACAAGAATAATACCAAATAGACTGGAAACAAAATTAGATCTTTACCAACTTAGAGAACAAGCAGGTTTTAAATTAACTACTACCTCCAATGCATTAAAGGGGTTATAGAAAAATCGGAAGACGGAAAGAAGGAAGACGAAGAATTTCCTGGCTGAGAAACCTAAAAGAGTGGTATAGTTGCAGCCCAGTAAATCTTTTAGAGCAGCCGCCAATAAGGTACGGATAGCTGTAATGATAGCCAACATCCGACAGGAGAAGGAACTACAAGAAGAAGAAGAAAAGTCCCTAATATGATAGAAATTAACAGCGCAATGAGAGCATTGGAAGAAAGATGTACAGATTATTGGTACTCCAAATTGAGCCCGAACGCCGCCTCTAGAGAAGTTGGTTTGAATATAAATTTTGAAGTGACACAATACATGACAAATCTGGTACCAAGCGCAAATATAAGTGGCGTTAGCTCACAAATATAAATACTTAGGTTATGAAATCAAAATTACCATCAACACGAGCAGAAGAAGCAGACGTAGACAACCGACGCGATGGGCAGACGACGTCAAAAAAATCGCTGGGAATTGCCTGCGGAAAGCTCAAACTCAACAGAACTGGAAAAATTAGGGGAGGCCTATGTTTAACTTTGGACGCAGAAGGCTAGATAATATCATAAATAAAAATATTAAGAACCATAAAAGGAATTTCTCTCTAATGAGTTAAAACAACGAATGAGGATCACCATCATCATTCTGGCTTTACAACTCTACGTGGGTCCTAGCCTCCTCAATAATTTTTCTCCAGTCATCCCTATCCATGGCCCAAATTCGCCAATCACGTATATCCATATTTCTTTATTGATCAAGGAACCTTGTTCTGGTTCTTCCTCTTTCTCTCTATCAAGAAATCTATCAATGAGCGTTTTTCTAGCTAGGTTATTTCGTTCCATCAGCATTACATGCCCTATTGACTTCGGACGTCATATCTTAATATGTGGTTCCTAGGATATGCTATAAAGTTCCAAGTTGTATTGTTCTCTCTATACTCTATTGTAACTGACCGCTCCCTAGCTTCGCCTTAGTACTTTTCTTTCGAAGCATCCATGTTTTCATTACTTTTTGTTAGAGTCCAGGTCTCGGAACAATATGTTAAGACTGGGCATATTATTGTTTTGTAGAGTTTTGCTTTTAAATTTCTCAATATAATTGTGGATTTAAGGAGAAGATTGAGCATCTGTTAGCCGTGCAAATTCTGCGATTTATCTCTGTGGTAGTAATATTTTCAGAGTTAACGAGCGCTTCAGGTATACAAATTCGTTCACTGCTTCGATGACGTCGTTTTCTATAACAAGTGGTCATAAGATTTGTGAATGCGTGCTTATGTTCATATACTTTGTTTTGTTGGTATCTATTATTAAATCCATTTTTGTAGCGGATTCTTTTAGTACTACATACTCCTCTCGCACATCGTTTTCCGTTCTCCCAACAATATTGATATCATCAACATAGGAAAGGATTTGCACTGATTTATTATAAATTGGTGGTTGTGGTTTGTGACAAACGTGGTACTTTTTCCAGAATCAGATTGGACAGTATACATAATAGAGATTATTCCTGACGCAGTCCGTTATTTGTTTTAAAAGGTTTTAACAGTTCTTCCTGAATTCGTACTAAAGGAATGAGGATACATTCCAAAGATTCTAGAGTCTAGGTTTTGTTGTAATAAAGATGTCGTCAGAATATACCTAGGAAGCGAAATGGGCAAAAACATTTAAATCCAATACAAAAAGACTTATATCAACATCACAAGAGTTTTGATAATAGAATAAACAGGACCATGTTCTACAAGAAGACAAAGTAGAAGAAGATTCAAACTTACTAAAAAAGATTAATTTGAATCTATTTAAAAAGTTAAAAAGAAAATTTTTGGTATACAACTGTAGTTTAACCTACTAATTATTGTTTCAACTACGATTATTGGTATCTTAGTTAAATAGCATGAAAATTTCAATAAATAGGTCACCTAAAGAACTGAATTAAAATATAAAAACAATAATTATATCAGAAATATGTTTTTTAAAACTGACCTATATTTTGCAATCGTTAAAATCTAGAAAATTCAATAAAAGAATACTAAAACCTTATTTGCGTGAATATGTCCCATTCATCTTTTTTATGATTTCCAAAAATGTCGTGTTGTTTATTTTTGAATACTAACGAAATAAAATCACGAAGCCAAGTTAAGAAATGTAAATATGTAAAAATCAATACTTACAAGCCAAAATTATTATTTGTTTTCGCAAGTTTAACGGTACCGAAAAGTAAATTTGTCTTACCTCTTATCTTTCACATTTCACTTTACGGGAATAACTAAATCGATTTTGATTTCGTATCTATGTTTGTATTGTCCTTACAAGCATAAGGACGAGGAGTTTTATTAATATCGACATAAAGTATGCAGTGTCGTGACGAGAATATTTACGTATGTATTTTCTCAAACTCAATTTTTTGTTGACGATATATACAATTATACTTATATTCGATTGGTTTTGAAAATGGAAGATCAACTTAAAACTGGATTTTTGTAAACGGACAAGGCTTTTAAATATTGGCACCAAAATTGCTTGCTATAGTAGGAGCCACGGTTAGAATGCAGTGCAGGTAAGAACGGCAATGTATTTCTTACGGGAGAACGGCCGACCACGTGGCCGGTTTGCACTGACCGGCGCATCAGGACCGGATTTAAGAATCATGGCACTGGAATATAAGCACACACAACAATTGACTACGGTTGCATAAAAGACTATTATTATTGTTTTAACTAAAGCAGCCATGTCAAACTAAAAGTACTTAGCGGGCCATTTTTAAAATGATCACAGTATCAATGGGCCGCACCGCAAGTGAATAAGGAAAAATTTGCATCTTGAAGTCTAAAATCTTGAAAACGTCTCTCAAACTCGGCCTGCAGACTTCTAATTTTCTCGACATATTTATTATACGAAATTTTGACACTACTATTTTCTTGGAAGTCCTTGCATGTCGGAAAATGCGACAAATTATTAACTGCTAACTGCTTTTCCCACAGTAATAACTTGCACTTGAAAGCTTTTACTTGATCGTTCATGTCTGTAATAATTTGACGTGGTCCTTGCAACTTTGTATTTAGCTCTGATAGGTGTTTTGTGATATCTACCATAAAAAAAAGATCTTGTAAAATCGGACAGCAAACTGACATCTTGGTTTTTTATTTCCATGAAAAGTCGTATTTCCTCTCTTAGTTTCCAAAATCGATCGAGAACCATAGAACACGAAAGCCACCGCACCTCCGTATAATAAGGCAAGCCCTCGTATTCACTTTCTAAATCGCGTAGAAACGCAGTAAATTGTCGCTGATTCAAACCACGTGATCTTATAAAGTTAATAATTTTTTTTACTGCTTTTAACACACTTTCCATCTTTATCACTTTTGAACATAGGATTTCTTGGTGTATTATACAATGAACGTGGTGAAAATCTGGTACGTCTTTGTATGTCTCCTTAATTCTGGTCTGTAATAATTTAATGAAGCCATTATTTATTCCTGTCACAGAAGGAGCCCCGTCAGTTGCAACAGAAGACAATTTTGATAAATTCAAATTATACCGTTGTAGCAGTTCATACACAGCATTCAATATATCCTCCCCAGTCGTTGTGTCATGCAAAGGCACCAATTCCAGTAGTTCTTCATAAATATTCATTTCTTTATCAACAGCACGAAAAAAAAACAGTGAGTTGAGCCACACCACACATGTCTGTACTTTCGTCGCAGGCAATTGAAAATGCGATAAAAGTATCTGATTTCATTTTTATTTGATCGCTTATGTTACTAGCCAACTCAGTGACTCTTTCAGCGACTGTATTCCGCGACAAAGATATACTTTGAAAAGCTTTAACGCTTCTGGGACAAACAATTTCTGCGGCTTTCACGAGGCACTCTTTTATAAATTCACCTTCAGCAAAAGGCTTTAAGTGTTTGGCGATTAAGGTTGAAAGTACGTAACTTGCATAAACAGCAGACTCATTTTCTTGTTTAGCTCGTGTAAACATGAGTTGTTGATTTGTTAATCGTGCTTTTAACTCGGTTAATTTTTCATTTCTTATTGCCCCCACATACTGGTTATACTTAGCTTTGTGCTGATCATAGTGATGTTTGATATTGTATAATTTAGGGACACTCACTGTACTGTTACAAATCAGGCAAATAATTTTGTCTTTCACTTCACTGCAAAAAAACTCCAACTCCCATTTTTCTTGAAATACTCGATGTTCGTCTGTGATTTTCCTCTTACTTCCACTTGGTTTTGAAAGAGACAGTTTACAGTAGTAGTGGCATAAATAATCTCTAAAAACAATCCGCTATTTCGATTCAAACAGTAGGTAGCGCGCTATTTCGATAAAATAAAATCACAGAATAAAACACAACAGAGTGGCGCGTCGATGTCGATCGGTCGTCAACTGGTTCTTTCTGGTTGGTTGGTTATATTCTTACTTACTGGCCGCCCGCCTGCCGCGCTGCCACCTCCAGCAAAGCAACAGGCTGGCGCAGGCGCAGGTATTAAGTAGCCTCGCCCGAAATGAAATAGAAAACACTTGAAAATATTATCTGTCATTATCGGTTTGTACATAATAGACGGCCTTAAAGATAGTAGTGTCCACTTTATTGGTTAAACGAAAATAAACTTTATTTAACAGGCAGTGGAGTTTTTTTGCAACAAAATTACCTGCTATTTCGCAAACAATAGAACCCAAGATAAAGCGGTCAGACCGCGGGGGTGCTAATTTTTATCACCTTATCACCAGACCCTTCTCTCACACGACATTTCCAACAATCACAATATGTACTTCTCAAGTATTGCAGTTGCAGTGCGTGCGGGAGAGAAGCACAGCCATTTTCTGCCCCTGTGCTCTTCATGCGTTCGTATAAAATGTTTTAACTATTGTACTACATACATTGGGTTGGGCTTCGTGGGCCGCAGAAAATTACCTGATATGATCGGGCTGCGGGCCGCAAGAAAATGCCTGAAGGGCCGCATGCGGTCCGCGGGCCGCATGTTTGACATGCCTGAACTAAAGCATGAAACAAGATAAAAGAGTAACATTGTCGAACTACACAATAACATGAAGAAAAAGAGTATAAAAAAGTAAAATATATTAAAAACTCATTGTCGATAGCTTATCTATATTTATCAATTTTCAATGCTTCCATTGTAAAAACATTTTTTGGGAAATAAAGATCATTATAAAGTCTCTTTGTCAATTTGGGTACTGGCCTTCTTCTTCCTCAGGTTCCTTCTATCGGAGGTTGGAAATCATCATCGCTATTTTAATTTTATTGGCCGCGTTTCTGAATAATTCTAATGAGCTGCAGCCGAACCACTCTCTCAAATTTATATTCTATTCTATATCCTATTATATGACCCAGGTATTGAATCTTTCTAATTTTAACAGTTTTTATGACTTCACATTCTTTCTTCATTCTTTGTAACACCTCTATATAAGTTACTTTTTCAGTCCACGATATTCTGTGGATTCTCCTGTAGCATCACATCTCAAAGGAGTTTAATTTTTTGATTTCAGACTGTTTTATAGTCCACGCTTCCATGCCGTATAGTAAAGTAGAAAAAAACGTAACAACGTAGCATTCTTGTGCGGATCTCTAGATTAAGGTTACGGTTGCAAAGTAAGTTCTTCAATTTTATGAACGTGTTTCTTGCCATTTCTATTCTAGATCTGATTTCTTTTGTTTGATCTCCGTCTTCGGTTAGCCACGTTCCTAAATATTTATATGTTGTTGTTCTTCTTTCTTTTCCATTACTTTATCATCAGTGACTTCGACATAAAATAAGACATAAGACTTACGAACTTTATTTTATTAAATATGCAGTGAATTAGTGATTGGCATAATATATTCACTCTTCCTGTCTCAGTTTGTCTGTATTATTCTTGTTTTTCTTTAGAAGCTCTAAATATGTTTTCGTGTAGTATTTCTTGTATTTCTTTGAAGGTAATCTAAATAAGTCTTCTCATCCTTTTAGATGTTAGTTTTTAGATTTTTGTTGCTGTTGATTAGTGTTTTTGTTTACACTTGGTGATATCATTGCTGATCCAACTATGCATGAATTAGATTGTTCTTTAGGTTACCCTCTTGAAGATGCAAACTTCAGTGTAATTAAAATGTGTTACGTTGTCTCTGTGGGCTTTTAATAAGATTGAAGACCAGTTTCTTTTTTTTATCTTTTATTAAAAACCAACTAAACTTAATACATGATTATTTTATATTCAACGAGCCATCTTCTATTGTTGTCCGCTATCAATGTCCTTCACCTGTCACCCATGTGAAGGTAGGTTTACAAATATTAAGGTAGGTTCACATAACATAACATGCCCCTTTTTTTTACAAAAAAAAACTAAACCATACCAACAACCTAAATCTACCCGCAACACTACACTGCCGCATTAGTCTTTTGAAAATGAAAATCTTTTTGATCTATTTACAATTCGACCACTCCTGGTACAAAATTGATTACTTACATTTAGTCTATGTGACCTATTTAAGCTAACATTTAAATTGTCATAACTTTGATTTGAAATTGATGTATCGTTGTTCATATTTGGAGCCTCATACAGATTGGAACTAGCTGCTGTACTATTTTCATGCTTAACTATCACCTCACTATTTTGTCTACTAATTGTACTGGCAGGCTTTAATATGTGTTGTCTGTTCCTACGATAATGTACACCTTCAGGGTAATGTAATGGAAAAGGACCTATTTCTATCACAGTAGCTGGTAACCACGGTGATGATGGAACCTTTTTATAAAATACATTTTCTCCAACAAACAGATTCGGTAAGTTTCTAGCTGACCTATCATGATATTCTTTTACTTTCCTTTCTTTTTCCTTAACAAATTTGCTATATTCGTCCCTATCAATTGTTTTTGGTATGAGTATTTTTTCACTAACAGGTAATTTCATTCTTAAATTACGTGACATTAATAACTGAGCTGGAGAATAACCACATTCTAACGTTGTATTTCTATATTGCAACATTCCCTGATATGGATCAGAGCCTGACTCTATACACTTATTAAAAATATTCTTTACAGTTTGAACTGTCCTCTCTACCAAACCATTACTTTTTGGATAATAAGGACTAGAACTTGTACTAGAAAGGGCAAAACAATTCAATTTAAAATTCAATATGGACAAATGCAAATTTCTATTATCAGATATAAAAATAATCATGTATTAAGTTTTGTTGGTTTTTAATAAAAGATATTAAAAAGAAACTGGTCGTTAATCTTATTAAAAGCCCACAGAGACAACGTAACAAAATGCTTTTGAATTATTAATATTTAAATTTGTAAATGTAGATTGGCAACTTATATTCTCTAAATTATTTAGTTTTATGGATAAAACATAAAGGAAATAAAGTAGTCTTAGAACTGATTTATTATAGAACCAATATTATTATTAATAACACAATATACAATTCAACATTTTACCAGGTCAGATCTTTTGCAGGTAATAGTGTCCCGACACATGTGCCAAAACCAATATTGAAGTTATGTCCTTCACAAACTGCTTTTATAGTAACTGTGTCCCCATCCTGTAAGAATTTTCTTTGAGATCCGTCTAGTAGACTAACAGGTTTTGTACCTTTCCAACTAAGTTCAAGCATCGAACCAAATGAATCTGATGTCTGAAACAAATAAACATACTGTATATTTTGTTATAGGTGCGGCAAAAAAAAAAAATAATAAAACGCCCAGCTTTGTAGTTTTGTTTTAAATCATCTACTAAAAACCATTATTATGTCAATAGCCAAAACACGTGCATATAAAATTTTACGTAGTGTTCATTTAAATATATAATTTAATAATAGGTATTTACTACGAGGCAGGTTAAATAATTCAATAATACAGTGGTTCTCAACCTTTTTGTGGCGACGGAACACTTTTAATTACCGAAAAAATTGCGGAACACCAAAGCAATAACATGCATATATTGATAAACAAATTAGGATTAGCACATCAATTCTGTAATAAACTTTATAATACGTACTCAAATTTGTAAAATTTTACTTAAAATATTAGAACAAAAAAATTTTTAAAATTAACAAAAGCGTAATTCTCAAAATACATCATATGAGTAAATACCTACTTCAAATTAGTGAGACACTTGTGCCTGATGTCGTTTGCAAATTTGCTCAATATCAGGCCTGATGTGGGAAAGAGCTACTCTCATTTCTTGTTCTAAGTTTAGCAGCCTTTCCCGTTTCTTATTTTTAATGTTTGTTAAAGATGAGAACCCAAATTCACATAAATAGGACGTTGACAACTGTATTAAAATACTAATCGCTTTTTTGGCAAGAAGTGTATATTTCTCTTGGACCAAGATCCAAAATTCCTGAACATTCACTTCTGAAAACGTAATTTTCAGAGTACGAAGACAGATGACAACGAAATAAATTCTTCTTCTTGGTTCAGAGAAAACTGGAAATTGGCTGTATTACTTGTGCTAAAAGGACTTCTTATCCAGTCATATTTTTCTACGTTCAGAGATGGAAAATACCTGGCAATTGTCTCCTCTAATAGTGATAAGTGTTCTGTAACTATATGCGTGATTTCTTGTTTTTTATCTTCATCACCTTCATTCCCAAGTAGTGGAAACATATCCATTTTATTTGTCTCTAAAATGCGCTTCTTCCAAAATGACAATTTTTTCTGGAAAGCTGACAGCTTGTCCATGGATGTTAAAATATTTTCATTTTTGCCTTGCATACTTAAGTTAACGCCATTTAAATAATTAAAAATATCGGCCAAATATGCCACTTTAGTGCACCATGCATCATTTTCAAAATATGTGGTAAATGTGTCATTACCTTCTTCTTGGAAAAAAGTTAACAGCTCCGTTCTAAGTTCATAAATTCGACATAATACTTTGCCCCTTGACAGCCATCTAACTTCGGTGTGCAGCAACAAACATTCATACTTTGATTCCATTGAGATGCAGAGTTATTTAAAAAGACGGGTTTTTAGTGGTCTTGATTTGATGTAATTCACGACATTAACCACTTGGTCTAATACAGATTTCAAAGTAGCTGGTAGCGTTTTTGAAATTAGAGATTCTCTATGCAAGAAACAGTGCGTAGATATGATATTTTCATTTCGCTTTTTTGCAAGGGTACAAAAACCTTTTATGGAGCCTACCATGGAAGTGGCACCATCCGTACAAATTCCTAGGCAAAAGTCCCATGATATATTTTTCTCTAAATATGACGTTATGGAATCAAATACATCCTGACCTGTCGTACGTGCTGTAAGTTCTCTGCAGCATAAAAACTGATTGACTATTTCACCTTCGTCGACAAATCGAATAAATCCTAATAAATGAGCTTTGCCACTAATATCAGTGGATTCGTCCACCTGCAATGCGAATTTGTTTTTGTAAAGTTTATTTGTAATTTTTTCCTCAATATCTGCAGATAAATCAACAATCCTCCTTCTTATTGTATCATCCGACATAGGAATTTTCCGTATTTCGTTTTGTGCATCGTTGCCAAACATAATTTTGACCATCTCACAACATGCTGGTAATATAAGAGATTCTGCAACAGTGTGTGGTTTCTGTTTCAATGCAATTAATTCGGCGACCTTATATGAAGCTATTTGTGCTTTGTCGGAAATTGTTAGCGACCTTTCAAATTGTTTCGCTTGTTTAGCTTGTGTCTCCAAAAGTCGCTTGAAATAATCTTTATTTTTTGAAGCTATACTAGCGTGTTTGGTAGTAAAATGGCGTTTTAATTTAGCCGGAGCCATTGCGCTATTAACGAGTGTCTGCCCACAAACAATACACTTGGGAATTGGACAGTCTTCTTCCCCAGTCCAAATGAAGCCATAATCCAAATATTCATCCAAATATTGCCGGCTCAACATTTTTTTGCTGCGCTTCGATTTGTCATCAACCCCACTTCGTAAAGTTCCAGTATCTCCGCTGGTGCTCGCTTTATCATCATTAATTATGAGTTGTTCCACAGTAGTTTTTCTTTTAAGTTTGAGGAACTTATCCATTTTAATTTATTCGTTTCTAAACAAAATAATGCGGATGAATGCTTCACATTTTGTATAAAATATGCAATTACTTACCTTTGATAGATAAGCCGTACGTAAACGTTATCATAAAAAAACTGACACAGCGATTTTCACGTATTACGTTTGTGCAATGTAACAAATTCAACATCAACATTCAGTTGCAGACTGTGGCGTGGGTGACTCAGATTGGCTGTGACCACTGCGGAGCTCAGCGCTCAGCGCTTATAAAATCCAACGTGTGCACTGTGCCGACGCGGTGTTGTCACGTTGGGCAAATGAACATTTACGCTGCAGAATTTTATTAAATTAAAATGTACGTAAGTGGCTTTTTAAAATTTGAAAATATTTATTTGAAAAGAGTAATTTAGCAAAATGGTATGTAGGATTGCGAGTATTTCGCGGAACACTTGGAAGGAATTCGCGGAACACTGGTGTTCCGCGGAATACCGGTTGAGACCACTGCAATAATATAATTAGGGCTCTCTATAAAAACGAATACCTTACCTCTCCGCTGATTGTTCCACTACCCATTAAATCTCCGGGATTGAGGTTGCAACCAGTTATAGTGTGATGGACAAGTTGCTGTTTAGGAGTCCAATATAAATATTTATAATTGGAACGACACACGGTAGTTGATACATTTCCACCTTTTGCTGAAAATTAATACACAATCTTTTTACATTGATTCTTCCTAAAGCTTACAAAAGTTATTAATATCACAAAAGTTGATGGTGGGGGACTAACAATGAGAATAAAATATTAGACTACTATAAAAGGCGCAATCCGATTTGATCTTTATCCTTAGCATCTAACTTCTAATGTACAAAACCTCACAATACTCCGATTTCAACGATGACAGTTAGTAAATTAATTCAAAACGCTCTCTTGAATCTTCTTATCAAATGAGTATTATTAAGAACATGAAATACCCAGACAATCCCATGTTATTTATGACTACTGGCACATTGGAATATGATCTTGTCAAAAGTTTTTTCATTTAGAGCTCTATGAAGATCTCGTTATGACAGTACGAATGTGCATCAAGGTGGTTTCCTAATATCTTTTTTGGAATCTTTGAATAACTTAAATGTTACTTTTACTGGAATAGTTCCAAAGCTCAGTACCATACATCTAATCGGTTTTAAATATCTGCTTGACCTCGTTATGACAGTACGAAGGTGCATCGACGTGATTTCCTAATATCTGTTTTGGAATATTTGAATAACATAATGTTACTTATGACTACTGTTACATAAATGTTACTCTCCGGTTGCCGACACGAATGTAGAATTTGTCCTTGTGTTAATGTAGTGTTATGTACAATTTATGTCCAATCTCATGTTTATTACATTTTGCGCTTGCTGGATAGCCTAAATTTGACGAAATGCCCCTTTGATGCTGTAGAAAGCGAAAGTACTTGGGCAAGATTTGATTATTAAATTTGTGCTCGATATTTGCCTTAATTTTTCAAAGTTCATTTATTCGAGCATTCAACCTCATATCAATTATAAATGTTACTTTTACTGGCATAGTTCCAAAGCTAAGTATCATACATCTAATCGGTTTTCAATATCTGCTTGTAGAGTAGCTGTTTGATATGCGTAGACAACTTGAGCTTTGTACCTAGCAGCAAATATATCTTTTTTTATATTAGATTAGGTTAGGTTCAATATGAGGACGCTTAACCATCCATCCACTCGAAGTAAAAAGTCTATTGTGGCTCATCCCTAGGATAAAGTTGTCTTTTCAGCCCAGCCTTTTTAACAAATTCTATTATGGCCTTAGGTAACAGTTCTACGAAGTCGTAGGGCTCTAGTTGAAAATGCTAAAATGTATTGAGCGTTATCTTATCCAATCCTAGATAGTCACACATAACGTAATCCGGCAGTTTCGTCATCATCCTGACAGAATCGCACTTTCTATCAGTCCGATTTTATTCATGTGTCTCTTGAGATCCGTTTGTTTGTACCAGAGATTACGTTTATCCGTTTCACCCAGTTCATTTGTTCCAATTGTTCTTTTGCTATGATTCTTGTTATACCAACGAAAAATTCTGGGCCTGTGAATATTTATTTTGCCCTTCTCCTGGCAAGTAGGTCTGCTTTTTCGTTCCCTTCAACGCCAGTATGTATAGGCACTCAGAGTAGAAGTCACAGTCCGATCAAAGAATTTATTATGGTTTTTCGGATACTGTGACACATTCGATGTTGGGATGTGAGCGTTGGACGAATAAAAGAGAGTGTAACTGCGAATGTTTGATTCCGTGAGAGAAATGGTGGAGAAAATGATGAGGGATGAGTGGTGGATACGGATTCACAAATTTATCAAGGAGCAGTTCTTTTCAAAAAGAACAAGGGGAAAGGAAACACTCAGTTTGAACAACCAAGTTAAGATAGTTAGGAGTAGTACTAAATGATAAGTGGTATCAGATATAGAAATAAAAACGTGAAGAGAACTGGCCAGAAACATGTAAAATAAGTGGAAGCAAATTATGTATAACAGAAAACCTAAGCTTAAACATCTTAATGAGATTTACTAAATGCTGTTTGGTCAGTTCTTTTGTATGAAGTTGAATCCTGGACATTTAAATTAAATACCATGAGACGGCTAAAAACCTTTCAAAAGTGGCTTTATCGCAAAATGATTAGATTTTGGATATATATCATGGACACAACACAGAAGGAATCTTCTTCTTCTTCTACATATTTTTATATAGACATGATCTGTCTGTTTTTCAATGTGCCTCCAGTTTAAGTTTAAGTTGTCGTTCCATCGTTTTTGTGGTCTTTCTAATGATCGTCTTAATATTGGGGAACCATCTCTTGCCGTCTTTAGTACTCTATTTGTTGTCATTTGACTTATATGATCGTTCTAATCTTCTATTTCTTACCCAGTTCTTGATGTTCTCCACCTCGCATCTACGCCGTATATCTGTACTTTTAGCTCTGTTCCATAGTATCTTCCATCAATTTTTCTAAGTGTTTTCATTTCCGCTGTTTCTAACATTCTTTTTGTCACCTCTGTGCCAGGTCTTATTTCTGCAGCCTGCGGCTCAGTTTACTCTATTCATCTTCTTCTACTTTTAATTTATTGTGTTGTTTTGGTAGATATTTTCGATCGTTTTGATTATTCCTAGAGGTATCTCTCTTGTATACAGTAAGTGGATAACGTCCTTTAATTTGACCACGACAAATACCTTCTTAAGGTTTACGAAACATATATATTGAAAAAAAAAAAAAAGAATATGTATCTAGGCCATATAATAAGAAATAATACAACCTGTTAGGCTAGGAATGTTAATTGAAGGGAAGATAGAAAGAATGGAGTAGGCAGAAAACTATGCCATGGATTTGCAATATCAGAACTTGGACAAAGCATAAATGTTGAACGATTATCAGATTTTGATGTAGTAATGGCAAACCTCTCGTAGTAATGTAGTGCACCAAAAGATCTCGTGCCTATATGCAGTGGCGTTATGTAACTATTATCAACAGTCTAAATCTGGTATCTATCGATTTCAAAAAGCTAATTGTAAAATTTTGGAGAGGAGTACTAGTGTTAAAGTAATTTTGCAGAATACCGTAGCTATTTTTTAGTAAATAGAATTAAAAATACTTACGAGTTAAGTCCACTTGAAGATTTATATCAAAATTAAATTTGTCAGTATGTCTAAGGTATGGTAACGGTTTTGGATCTTGAGGAAAATTATCAGTCTTAAAAGGTTCCAAAGCCAACGTTGTCACGACCCATGGTGAAATTGAAGTGCCCAAGTTTTTAGCTAAGAAAGGCCCAAGGGGAACATATTCCCATTTTTGGATATCTCTCGCTAAAAAAAAATCGCATTAAGACAGGCTAAAAAGGTAGGTATATAAAAAGCATACCACTCCAGTCGTTCATAATCACGAAACCAAATATACGATCTTCGGCGTTTTCCATTTTTATAGGTTCACCCAATTTGTTAGAACCGCCAACAAAAAAGGCCATTTCTAATTCGAAGTCCATTAATTTGCAAGGACCAAAAACGGGATCTGTGCCTACAAATGAGAATACGGTATTTAAAAATAGATTATTATATATTGCTACATACAAATTTAATTCAATTTAAAAAATAAATTACTCCCCAAACTGTATGAAAACTATTAACAACACACTTACCATCCATAACAAGCGTTTGACCATAAGGCCTATGGATTGAAGTACCAGAAATTACCACAGAACTAGCTCTACCATGGTAACCAACTGGTAGATGTTTCCAATTGGGCATTAAAGCATTTTCTCGGCTTCTAAACATAATTCCTACATTAGTGGCATGATGAATCGAGGAATAGAAATCGGTGTAGTCTCCAATTCTGGCAGGTAGGTGCATAGTCGCCTCAGACTGTGAAACAAATGCTCTGAAATTAATAGAAATGTTATTATATATGGATGTTTTAAGATATGTAGCTACAAATTACCTTTTTCGCAAATCCACATCATTCTGTAAAATAGTATTATCTTCAGAGAGAAGGCTTTGTATTGTTTCCCTAGCTTCTTTCCATGCCTGTGGACTTAGTGCCATCAAGCTGTTTAAAGTATGCTGTAAAATAAAATAAAAAAATAATCGTATCATACAATTTTTAATTTTTTTTTTTAATTTCTAATACTTTTCAAGACAGATGCATTTTTTCTCTGGTATTCCATTTTAGGTATTTTTAATATCTCCTTTTTAATTCGGCTCAATTTCGTTTTTCCCGCTATTTTTCTTAAGTGCCTCATTCCTAACTTTGATTACTGTTTCTTGTATTGTTATCGTCTCCCTTATTGCAGTTATACATATTAACGTCGATACATTTATTTCAATTTTATTTATTTACTTCTTTTCTTTTCTTTCTTCTTCTTCTTGTAGTTCCTTCTCCTATCGGAGGTTGCATTTTATTATCTATACAAGAATTTTGCTTGTTATCAACCTGGAAAGCCTCGTCTTTTATATGATCTTTTCCTTCTCTGTCGGATCTTGGTTTCTGGATTCCATGATCAGTAACAGTTTGACTTTTTTGCATATTTGCCATGATAAATGACTAGGGATGTTCTGTTGAACCTTTAATGCAGTGGTTTTCCATTGCCTTCTGCATTCTTCTGCCGTTGACCAATTTATTGGTTCTTCTGTTTTTGGAGTCGATTTCTCAGCTCCAGAACACAAGATTGTCTGACTCATCCGCCCGAAGCCGTTGATCAGTGAGCAGGGAATTGCTTATACCGGCAATTACTCGGCCCCTATCTACGTTAGTCATCAACATTGATGTTGTCCACCTTCTACCACGTGGTACAGATAATTCCTGTAAACTCACTGAAAATCAGTTCATTTTGAATCAATGGAAAAAATCCATTGCAGTTTGTAGGTACAGGCTTTGAACTTTCTTCGAACTAAAAATTCGGCTTATCATATTGAATATTTGGATTCTGTGGAACAAAAACCATAAAAATTAATTGTAAAATCTCATGGATCTTAATCACTATTAAATTGATGAGTTAGTAAATTTTTCTTGACTTCTCTAACTTTGTTTGTTCTGAGTTTTGAGTTTTTTACTGTCTTTCAATTATTTCGACTTAAAAATATTATCAAATACTTACTTCCATAAAAACAATCTGATGATTCCTTAGTTCTGGACCGGTAAACAAGTGAGCAATCTCATGTAGATCTAAAATGAGGTCAGCTATTGCCACCCCAATTCTTGGAGTAGGCTAAAAACAAAATAAAATCATTTTAAAGTAAATTAACAAAATATTACATTCCAAAAAATAATATGGAAATTAATCATAAAAAAACTAATATGGAAACGAAAAAGGAATCATACAAAAATGTCAGCAGATCAAGCCACTAAAAGTAGAAGAATCCCGCAGCAATCATGGAATGCGGCAAGAGATGCAGATGGAGAGAGTCAGTGAAGCTGTTAAAAATGATGGAATGGCATATTCAATTCCGTCATAAACTTTCTCTCTTTTAAGAAATATTCTGAAGAGGAGGACCTTGATAAGAATATCGATGCAAAAGGCAACAAAAAGGTACAGGAAAGTACCGAGTTGTGTTCACAGAAGAACAAGAAGCAGAATTGGTGCGACACGTACTAGATTTAGACGATTCTTTGAAGTACCATTTTAGATCGTCGCTCATTAGCATACAACCTAGCTGCACGCAATGCCATGCTGAACAATTTCAACCATGAAAAAATTTAGCTGGCTTAGACTGGGTTGCTGGATTTAAACATGGGCACCCTGAAATTAGTTTAAGAAAACCAGAATAGATCTCTGCACCAAGAGCTCAGAAATTCAATAAAAATAACGTGACAAAGTTTTTTAATATCGTTAAGAATGTTCAAGAGAAGCCCTGTCCACAGGGTTTTCAATGCTGACGAGACAGGACTCATAACTATTCGATCCAAAAGCTTCAAGATTCTCGCTCTCAAGGGAGGCGAAGTTGGTGCTTTTAAATCGGCTGAAAGAGGTCATCAACTTTTCAAGAGGGTATCAACATTGGTTGGGTGTATGTCAGCTGGAGAGAACTTTATTCCACCATTCGTGATTTTCCCAAGACTTAGGATAAAAACGGAGCTTTAATATGGAGCTCCACCTGACTGGAACTATTATTGTCTGTCACCCATCTGAATAGACGCAAAACGAGATATTCTTTCAGTAATTTGAGAATTTTATGACTTTCTTATTGAAAACCTGGCATTTATTGAAAAAGGAAGAGAGTGCCACACCACCGTCATGTTTTACCACAGAATTGTAGCCATAAAATGCAGCCTTTAGATGTCTCGTTTACAGGCCCGTTTAATACATTCTACGTTTAAGTTATGAAACATTTTCTAAAAAACAATCCTGAAAGGGTTGTAACCCAGTTTCAAGTTTGTCGACTTCTTGGAGAAGGTTTTTTAAAGGCAGCAATCACAGTCACTGTAATAAATGGACTTCGCAAAAGCGGCATAGTGCCACTAAACAAAGATGTCTTCACTTTGCTTCTTTAACAACTTAGACCTGATCACCAACAGGGAGCACGTCAAACTAAAGAGTCTGTACTTGAGTCAGCTCATCTTTTAAACATCCACAAGATCAATTGGCAAAGTGGCCATTTTGCATATTGAAAAATATTTTTAAAAAATAGAAGAACAATTTTTAAACACTTAGAAAAATTTACAGTAAGACACTATGGGACAGAGCTAGAAGTACAGATATAAAATTAAGATGCAAAGAGGAGAAGAAGAAGAAAAAGAAGAGTAGAATGGAACGATCATATATACCGAATGACATGCAAATAGAGTAGTAAAGATGGTAAGAGACGGTTCCCCAATAGGAACACGATCAGTAGGAAGACCATGAAAGAGATGGAAGGACAACTTACTGATAATGTAAGATATACACGTAATATTGTTTCAAAAACAAAAATTTTGAATAAAAAACAAACCTCACTTAGAATGGCCATTTTTCCCGGTTCTGGAACGTAAACTACCTTAAAGAATAATAAATGCCGACTTTTACAATTGATTCTACAAGGCAACATTGACGGTAAGAGAGGCTCTGGCCAATCTTAAGAAATGGACAGGTCTAACATCAATTGATCTGCTGTGAATAGAATAGAATAGAATAGAAAAAAAAACAAAGTTAAATCCACACAATAAAATGACTCGTAGGTGCTATTTATATTTTAACATGTAATACTTGTTGCCTAACATATAGATAAATATTGTATTTATTTTATTTACAAGCATCAATTATTTATAGTTTTGGTCAGGACCATTGAAATAAAATAGTACAAATTGCATAAATTTGCCCAATTTACGTCAAGTTTTGCGCATTATACGTCGCATATTGCTATTTTATAATTTTAAGGTTAATTACAGAGATATCTATTCTACTATGTACGGTGAATGACTACAGTTCTTACCGGTATATTTGTTTAGAAATATTATTAATAAAATAAAGTACTTACTTTTTGGGGAGTGGTAAATACGCCATATGGAAGATTTTCAATTGGAAAATCACAATATTTGGGATATTTTAAAAAGCACTTCATAATGGGGACTTACTCTTCCCTGGAAAATGTAATATACCTACTGAAGAAATTGTGTATGATAGTGTTGAGAGTATTCAAGGTCAATAATTTATTTGTAATAACAAACAGATTAGCTTTTGGTTTCATAACAATTTGTTTGATTAGAGGGTATGGGGAAACAAAAATCAGAAATACTTTCTTCTTTAAGGCATCATAGTTGCTGATTATATTATCTGAATTTTTAACGTCACTGACAATGCAAGGTCATTAACATTTGAACTGTATCGGTATTTGGTGTATTAATAAATAGTTATTGCTATATTTGTGTAACGATAAGATATGTTTTAAATTTTATAACAGTATGTAGGTATTTATTTTGGTTTCAAGTAGGTATATCAATAAATAGGACAATCACATATACCTTGAAACAGACTTTTTTCTTATGCAATTTGCAATTTATTTAAAATTTTGCAATGAATTGCGTATTTTATTATCTTTTATTTTGTGATATTGACAATTTATGTAATTTCAGTAAATTTTCAATTGTTATTTTTAGAGTCTTTGTAAGCTTTGTCCGTAAAATTGTACAATTTTCAGTTACAATAAAGCCTATGTCTATTCTATTTTATAATCATGATTTGACTGGAACCGTCCATTTTTACTCAAGAGTCTTCAATTAAATAGGGAAGGAAAAAAAGAAAATATCGTGGCACTGGCCGTGGCTACTCGGCACACCAATGGTTATATTCTAAAATGTAATTAAATTGCCACTTATACATTAGTACAACCTAATTTTGGGACGCTATAAACTCCTAAAAAGTTACATGGTGCATTTATTATATCCACAGTAACAGAAACATAGGAGACCAGACCATCAAAAAACGTAGACAAAATTGGGTTTATACGAACTAATAATTTCTGGTGTCTCTGGCTTTTGGCTTTTAGAATATATTTCCATGTTTCTTTTCTGCTTTTCTAATGTTAATTGATGGATTCGATCGTTACTTAATGGAGATTCATTTTATGTAACAATAAAACACTGAAAACTTTGTTTTCAAAACTTCCACAAAAATTTTATTATATAATCTTATACTTCTTCTTCTTCTACGGCACTACAGCCCAAAATGAGCCTTGGCCTCCTTTATTTTTTGCCTCCACCCTTGTCTGTCTGTGGCTGCTCTTCTCCATACATGGACTCCTAAAAGTGCTTGTGCGTCGCTGCTTACTGTGTCTTCCCAGCGCTTTCTTGGCTTTCCAACTGGTCTCTTTCCCTGCATTCTGGCGTTCAGTGCTCGTTTTGGTAGCCTATCCTCTCCCATTCGTATCACATGTCCGGCCCATTGCAATCTTTGTATTCTAATGAAGTTTGACAGGGGTGTTTCCTTATACAGTTGATAGAGCTCGTTGTTATATCGAATTCTGAAGATTCCGTTTTCCCTCACAGGTCCTAGTATTCTCCTCAGTACTTTTCTTTCGAATGTGTCGAGTTTGTTTTTGGATGTTTCTTTCAGGACCTATGCTTCGCTGCCATAACATGCTATTGGCCGAATTAAAGTTTTATATATTCTCATCTTTGTATTTCGGTGGACACTTTTAGACCGAAATATATGGGAGAGGGCAAAATAGGCTTTGTTTGCCTGTGTTATCCTTTTTCGTATTTCTCCATCCTCTGCTCCATCGGCATATATTTCTACTCCCAGGTATGTAAACTTTCCAACCGTTTCAATGTCATCTTCATGTATAATGTTTTGTGGGATTATATTTCTTCTCGTCTGTACCATTATTTTTGTTTTTTCTGTGTTAATTTCCAGACCTAGCCTTTTCGTTTGTGTTTTTAACTCTGCGTATGCTTCCTGTGCTCCTGTTGATGTTCTACTCATAATATTAATATCATCGGCGTAGGCAGCCAGTTGAACTGTTTTATTGGTCAGTAGGTTTTCTCGTCCAGTTTGCATTTGCCTGACCGCATACTCCAGTGCCAGGTTAAACAATGTTGGTGCCAGCCCATCTCCCTGCTTTAGTCCCTGCGAGATTTTGAAAAAGTCTGTCCGGTTGTTTTGTATTCGTACACATGCCTGAGTTTCATCCATTGTGGCTTTAATGAGTCTAATTAGCTTATGTGGTATTGCTAATTCTGCCAATATATAGTATAGTCTGTCCCTTTTGACTGAATCGTATGCCTGTTTGAAGTCTACAAACACGTTGTGAACATCAATGTCGTGTTCCCACGATTTGCTCAAGACCTGCTTGACTGTAAATATTTGATCCATTGTCGATCTTCCCCGTCTGAAGCCCGTCTGATATTCTCCAATAATATTTTCTGCTAGTGGTTGGAGTCGCTGGTTTATAATATACGTGAGGACTTTATACGCTGTACATAGTAGAGAAATTCCACGGTAGTTTTTGCATTGGAGTTTGTATCTTATACACTATAGCTGTTTCGGCCGATTGCCTTTCTCAAGTGATCTATTTTTGGCATGCGTTTATACTTTATAGACTTTAATAAAATATGTTGAGGAGGGAAGAATTGTTTCTATCAAGTTGGTAATTCAGAATTATATTTGTTTTTTAATTTATTAATTTCCATAGATTCTAACAAAGATAGCTTAAGGCCTTTATTTTGAATGTGAAGAATTTTAAATTTGTCATTAACAGAATGATTATGATCTAGAAGGTGAAGTGCGTATGTCGAATCTGTTTTTCTATTATTGAAAGCCCTTTTATCTTCCGCTATTCGTTTATTAAAGTTTCTACCAGTTTGACCGATGTAAGTTTTTGGGCAGTCGCCACATGAAGGCCTTTATTTTGAATAGGAAGAATTTTAAATTCGTCATTAAAAGAATGATTATAATCTAGAAGCTGAAGGATCTAGTGTAGAATCTGTTTTATTATTACTGAAAGCTATTTTATGTTCTGCTATTCGTTTATTAAAATTTCTACCATTTTGACCGATGTAAGTTTTTGGGCAGTCGCCACATTTAATTTTGTATACACCACTGTGTAAGTGCTTTTTATTTTGGCTCTTATTGTTTTTAATATATTTGTTTAAGTTGTTATTTGTTCTGAAGGTTGGTGTTAATACCTTTCTTTTTTATGTGTTTAAAACAACAATATTTGACAGATAGTGTTGTCATGCGATTTTGTCCATAACCTACTATCGGCACAACCTATTTGATGCATTACTTTTGTCTTAAAATGTTACAAAAAAGAAATCTAAAGAAAATTAAAATTAGGAAAATTCTGGATACTTTCTAGACGGACCATATTCCAGCTTTTATCTGTTTTCTAACGATTTAATTGTGACTACCTAAAGTAACTTTGGTCTTGTAAAAGAACATTCAATAAATCAGGGGCTATAGCTAAATTCTAAGTTTTAGAAATTTTCAAAAAAATAATAGGAAAAATTGTCAATTTTCAGGTTTTTCTTTGCATAATTTCGTGTAGAGTGACTGAATGGGATAAGGTGACTCATATGTATAAAAATGCAGAAAGGGAGTTACGGGTAAAGATAAAGTAATAAATGAAATACGTTTTAACTTTTTTAACATATAGTCTTTTTCTTATAATTTCATATACACATTTATTACAATACTGATATTATTCGATGCTTTCTGAATGGAAGCCCTATTAAGATTTAACCCACAGTCAATAATTCAACTACGTCACCGTAGGCAAATCAATAGTACTACTATTAAATTAATATAACGACTATAATTATTGATAGATACGACCAGCAAAACGAAAAGTAGTTTTGTACATATACAGATTTTAAAAATATGACTGTAACTTTTACATTTGTCTGCCACTAAGTTTCATAGTGCTGGCATTTTGGAAGACATTTATAATCTTGTTGTTGATGACCATAAGGTGTTTCACCTTCAAACTAATTTTGATTTTTTTTATGTTCAAAGGATGTTATTATCTCAAAATATATGTTAAATAATAAAACGGTTCTTCCTATTTTTGCTTAAAACTAATATTTGGGTCCATCCCAAATCCATCCTTCTTTAAAATCGATTTTTTATTATAAAAGTGTGAAGGAATGGTTTGAACTTAATTCAAATTTAACAATTTTCTCTACATATTATCTGTATATTATTTTAATAAAAAATGAAACTATAAGAACCGCCTTTACTTTGTGCCTAGGGGTCATGTTGGACCTTCTTCCTTTACATCTTGTTATAGAGTGTAAACACATGATGGTCGCCTATTGGCTAAATCAATACAGCAAGTGGTTGACAGTATTTTACGGCAGGCTAGATAAAACTGTTGCGTGTTTTCCATGCTGCACGAGAGTAAGGTTTTGGTGCAAGCCTACAACAGTACTTTAGACCGCGAACAAAAAGCTGGTTGGAGAAGCCAAAGACTGGGTCATTGAAATAAGACATTTTTATTTTATGACCAAAGATTTTTGCAATCTTATCCTGTTAACTCCCAATGTTGCTGCAGATTTAATCAGAATTGATTAAGTATAGATTAAAACACCTATAAAAGTTTTCCCTAATCCACCAAAAGACATCAAACCAGTAGAAAATATTTTTGCAAATGCAAAAAAAGTTTCATTAAGAAATTCTGTTAGTAGGCTGTTAGAAAAAATTCTGATCGAAGTCGAGAAATGAGGTTGGATCTGATATCGGGGATTGACATTATTCCTTATCAAATTTGAAACAATATCTAATTTTACAAAAATAACGTATTTAACGCAAAACAAGATAATTTTCCCTCAGAGCTTTATAAATATTTATATCACCAAAGGACTGAGTAAGGGGTGTAGTCTCTATTCATTATTATGGAATGTTGATGTAAAAATCGTCCTGAAAAGTAGGAAAAGGTCTTGTCACAGAATAAGCATATCCATCAATGATAAGAACAACAGAAAAAGAAGGTCAACAGCCCTAGCACCAAGAAAATCATAGATACAAGACGTCTCAAACAAGACAACACATATGTGGAAACCAAATTTAAAATAAACGAGAGCTTAAGGAAAGTCAAAGAAGATAATGCAGAAACTCTAACTATTGACCAAAAATGGGGAAAAATTCAACATGCCCTTGTGTCAGTTGGAAAAGAAACCCTCAAACCACTTAAAGAAAAAACAAA